TAAAAAAAAAAAACTTTAGGAGATCAACTGATAAAAATCACCTGAGGGTACCGTAAAGTTAAAACAAAAGTAACTCCATCAACTGACTCCCTGATTTTTAAAGTGTATATATATATATATATATATATATATATGTGTGTGTGTGTGTGTGTGTGTGTGTGTGTGTGTGTGTGTGTGTGTATAACGGCGTTTCCTTAGAAAGAGGTGTTTGATTGATTTGAAGCTTTTAAAAACCCTTTATTGTACTTTCAACACCATGACTTGATAAGACACCAGAAGTGTTGAAACAAAATAGCTATTTTGTAGTGATTTTATAACATACTAGCAGTAGAGCCCGGCGTTGCCCGGGAATGTAACAGTAAGAGATAGATCAAGTATCGACCATCATAAATACTGAAAAATAAAATTGACAAAGATTATTGTTTAAGGTTGACGGACACGCATGTCTTAATTAGTTTTTTTTTTGTTTTTTTTTACGAATTGGTCAAACCCAAGCTCAAACAAAAACATTGTTTTCAATCATTATGAGTCTACCGATTGAATTCCGTATATTTGCTTTATTTGTGTGTGAAGAAAGACAAAAATTGTCCAAAATGTGGGTATTTTCTATTAAGCTGTTCCTTAATCTAAGCTTTAGACTCACATGAGCCATCTTCAGAGTGGTTATATGGACACTTAAACAAAGATATTCGCCATCAAAGATGGTATTCTGTTATGTCGGCATAGAAGTTTGCTATGCGACGATAGCGGTCGTGGAATACCAGACGCAGTTCGTAAATTCGTGATTCGGTTCTATCACGTCGTACCACGTGAGAGACTGAAATATTAACAACAGAACGATAGGTCTAGATGCAATGTAATGTGTTGTGACTAGTTTGAAATGTAATAGATAGATAGATAGATAGATAGATAGATAGATAGATAGATAGATATGTGGTGCAGTTCAATTTATATCACAATGAATCATTCATCCAGGTAGATTAGAGACGAAAGATTAAATGCGAATCGAAATATGTTTTGTTTAGAAATGTGTTATTGTTAAAGGATATACACTTTTGGAGCGTGCAGTCGCAACGCTAAGTTTGATTTTTTTTTTCTCCAAAAACCTATTTCGATTCGCATTTAATCTTTCGTCTCTGATACTACCTGTATTTGCTAAATCAAAATAATTTCCACGCCTGAGGATGACTGTATGTACAGTCGAAAGTACTTCTGTATTAAAAAAAAGACCTTATACAGCTTGTAGTTATTAAAAACAGGGATCATAACATTCATCGAGTGGTTCGTAGGTTAATGGAACTTTAAAATTTTGTTTGCGAAGAGATTTCGCCATTTTATATCATTAACTTTACTAATCAACTTTTTGTATGAATATATATATATATATATATATGTGTGTGTGTGTATGTTTGTGTGTATGTATGTGTGTGTGTCTGATTCGATAAATTAAAAACATTACGTTGTATCCTTATCCTTTCATATTCACGAAAATTTTTTCCGTATATTACAATTAAATGAGGCAAGAAATGCACTGTAATAGTGAGAATCACTTTTATTCCCCCAAGTACTTTCCATCTCTTTCTGAGATCATCATCAGAGGTGCAATTGGTAAGGAAAAAACTACGTGTAGCTTATCCATTACTGAATTTTTTTTCTTTTTGCGTTTAAATGCTACGGATGACAGTTATGCTTTAGTGTTCATTAGAACGTGAATATTAATGCATTATGGATTTTTTTTTTCTTTTATGTTGGGATATCATGGTCGTGTGTGTATTCAAGCGTGAACCTTTAATTTGTGTTCGGTTAATTAAATTTTGTATAAGTGCTACATATATAGTTCTCGGCTCTTGTTTTGAAACATGAGAACTCTTATGTAGCGATGAAATCATATAATTATATTTGGGCTCTACACACACACACACACACACACATACATATATATATATATATATATATATATATATTATATATTTGATATGAACGAACACTCCTTACCACCTTTCAAATGTCAACGAATAATCGATGTCACTTTCGTAATGCTCGTTGTAGTAGAGACTTTGTAATCGCAGATACAACTATATTACCGCCGTTGAACAATACTGGTATCAGACGCCTTCGAATAACACCCGGACTAATAGTACTTGCTCGATAATACTCGAAATAGTAACCATCAAATAGAGATCCGAAAAATAATCCATATAGTGAGATATTCACAAACCGCCTTTACCATTACGTGATCTATTTATTCAAAATGAGATCACCAGTATTTGCTTTCTGGTTATCTGTGTCCAGCCTCCAGTGTCAGCAGCGACAAATTATTCCTATATAACATATCTGTCTATATTTCTGAGATGAGGTATTATGTACACTATTTACATTATTCGGACTATTGTCCTCATTTTTGTCGCCATATTTATAACAACGTTTCGGCCCTTCAGTATCTGTCTATATTTCCGAGATGAGGTATTATGTACACTATTTACATTATTCGGACTATTTTCCTCATCTTTGTCACCATATTTATTACAACGTTTCGGCCTTTCAGTATCTGTCTATATTTCTGAGATGAGGTATTATGTACATTATTTACATTATTCGGACTATTGTCCTCATCTTTGTCGCCATATTTATTACAACGTTTCGGCCCTTCAGTATCTGTCTATATTTCTGAGATGAGGTATTATGTACATTATTTACATTATTCGGACTATTGTCCTCATCTTTGTCGCCATATTCATTACAACGTTTCGGCCCTTCAGTATCTGTCTATATTTCTGAGATAAGGTATTATGTACACTATTTACATTATTCGGACTATTGTCCTCATCTTTGTCGCCATATTTATTACAACGGTTCGGCCCTTCAGTATCTGTCTATATTTCTGAGATGATGTATTATGTACATTATTTACATTATTCAGACTATTGTCCTCATCTTTGTCGCCATATTTATTACAACGGTTCGGCCCTTCAGTATCTGTCTATATTTCTGAGATGAGGTATTATGTACACTATTTACATTATTCGGACTATTGTCCTCATCTTTGTCGCCATATTCATTACAACGTTTCGGCCCTTCAGTATCTGTCTATATTTCTGAGATGATGTATTATGTACATTATTTACATTATTCAGACTATTGTCCTCATCTTTGTCGCCATATTTATTACAACGGTTCGGCCCTTCAGTATCTGTCTATATTTCTGAGATGAGGTATTATGTACACTATTTACATTAT